GTTATCATCCACAGTGGAGAGAGAGAGAGAGCAAACAGCCTTTGCTGTGACATAAAGCATGATGTAATATGTGGGAGGGAATATGAGTATGGACAGCCACACAATATGGAGGCTACCAATCATCTCTGCCGTTTATTCACTGTAATAACTTCATATATACTGTTCCAATAATGTGACAATGATGCATTGGTGTTTGACAATATTTCCCTTTCTCCTGCAGTCATTTCACTCCAATTTAACCTATTTGTCAGAGCACCAAGCTGTTGCCCGAGGCCAAGGGATGTACAGTCTCAAACCCAGTGCTGCAGAATAATTCCCCTCTCTGCTGTGGTCATTAACGCTGCACTCACTCTGCAGTGTTATTGAAAAGCACTATGAAATGGGATTTGTCCACCTGCCTTACATGAAACATATCATCTCATAAAAGAGATTTTATGAGTTGTTGTTTTTTTTACATTGTAGAGCTTCTCTGCACAAAAATGGACTTTAAAAATCAATCCTGAGGCAGTTCTTTTTTCATAAAGCAATGCTTTTTGTTAGATTATGAGTGCTGAACTCACTGCAGGTCTGTTTTTATAAAAACACATCCAATCTGATATATCTTGGTGGCTTGAACTTTATGATTTACTCAGTTTTAGCCTCCAGTGACGTCTTATCAGAGGTCCATGGAGATAATTTTCAAATTGCTGCACCTTGGTGAATCAGCCATTGAGGTCTCTAATAGCTAATTCTGTCAGTCTAATTAAAGTTCAAACTACAGCGGTCTCTTCAAACTGTCCAAGCATATCTCTGGGCTAAATCCCTTATGAAAATAATAGCTGTGTGCTGATTGGAGTTTTTTTAATTTAATTAATTCAAAAAACACTCTTTATTTCTACCCACTTCAGTTTGCCTTGCAATTAGATTCACCTTGCAGAGAATTCTGCTAATGGGCTCAAATAGCTAATGGGTTGATTATGAGCAATGCAGTTTTCCAGGGTCAAGATACCAGAGAAATAGCTAATTCTGTGAGAGCCTCTATGTGAAAAGAATGAAAAGAAGATTTTCTTCTAAATGTGAGGGTTCCGAATTTGATTAAGCAAATAAAAAGGAGGGTATATAACTTTATGTACGGATGTTTTCAATATCTCTCTGTTTAATTCAACTCTGTACGTATGTTTGTTAGGCAGCCTTGCCACTGGCAAGGTAGGCAGGCTCGATCAGTTGTTATGGTGAAGCATGACTCTCTTTGGGTATATTCGTCAAATCCAATTTTATTTATTAGCAACTTTCTTTAAGTGTGTGAACTGTTGCAACCTGTGAGGATTTGAGTTTGTGCTTTTTTCACATTCTGCCGTAGTTCTTTAAAGTCAGCATGGCTTTGATTTATTTTTTGAGAGGAAAGAAAAGTAAACCTGCAACCTAAAGCCCCCTGAGTAAAACACACTCGCTGTGAGACAGGTGGGTTTAATCTTCCAACCAGGCAGGACGGTGTTTGTTTTCCAGGTGTACTCATCTCTCTCTCTCTGTGTGTCTCTAATCTGATAGTGTTTCTGAACCCAGGCCAGACAGAAACAACTGTTACCCACAGCCACTTAGAATAACAAGCAGCTCTAGCAGGCCTGCGGGGCCAAACTACGGCTCCCGGAGCATGAAATACACTTGGCATGCTAGAGGACTGTGATTCTGGCAGGCGAACATATTGGTCCCATACTGTTGGCTTGCAGAGTAGGATGCCAAAGAGGAGCCCTGGAGGATTTATACCTGGGCAAGCAGCAAATAAAAACAACTCTGGTACGGTCTGACTTTAGTTTAACTTCAGCTCCAAACTTACTGCAGGTGCTGCAGAGGAGGCTGAAATGATGATCCAAAAATATGCGTGCATATATGTGACATTTCATGCAATGTTCTTTCTTTCTTTTTTAAGATTCTGTGAAAATATTGCTCTGTCAGCGCATTTATTTGGAATTTTAAGTCTTTGCAGATTTCTTTCCATCACTGCAGTATAGACTTCTTTTTTATTTGTGGTCCTAAAAGGTTTATGCGGTGATAGGACTTGTTCAGTATGAAGACAGATTGCAGGAGCCTTTATTTCTAGTCTGATCTCATTCCCTTCTCTCAGATGCCCTTAGATGATGTTGTTCTCAAAGGCAACAAACAAACAACATCAGCAGCTGAAACAATGTGATTGTGTCTCAAAGCATTTATTGACTAATCCTTACACACGAGGCAATTTACAAGAGGGACTCCTATTCTACTTGAAGTTCCTGGGTCTCGCTTTCTGTTGTGATTCCTCCAATGGCAAAAGTTTATTGTTCACTATATTGAGCCAGGATTCTTGGGACACTAAATTTAGTTTGTATCCATGTAGGGAAAATTAAAACAACCTCTTGTCTCGTAAAAAACAAACTGAACTACAAACTGAATCTGTGCTTCCAACAAGGAAAAACATTCAGAGAATCATTATTGGTTGTTTCTATCAGTTAAACCCATACACATAATTAAGGACACAGTTAAATGTCATTTTGAGAATCTTAAGTAATGTAGTACTGAGTGATGTCAGGTATACTTTGACAGAAATTCAATCTATCATGAACTTTAATTCCAAAATGTCAGTGTTTTAACAAGCATCTTATGTCTCATAAGGGACACAAAACAATCAATTAGGCCATAACCATTTTACTCAAATGTCATCTTTTAATCAATGCTGTAATTGCTGCCTATCATGAGTCTGGTTCTGCTCAAGGGTCCTGCCTGTTAAAAGGAAGTTTGTCCTTGCCACTGTTCACTTGCAAAATGGTTTGCCAAGTTGTTTTGCTCATGGAGGATTAATGTTGGATCTTCTTGGATCATGCTGCTGTTTTTATCCTGCACTACAACGAGCCAAATGCAACGAAATTTTGTTCTTATCTGCACTGTAAAGTACAAGTTTGAATGACAATAAAGAAAGTCTAAGTCTAAGTCTAAGTCTTGTGAATTGGTTGCTGCAGTATTGATCTGAATGTTTTACATTTTTATAAAGATGTTTAAAGTGCTACATTTGACAGAAATGTTTTGTGTGTGTTACATGTGCTGCATGTGTAGACACTTCAGGATAATACTCTGCCTCTCTGCTCTGTTATCTGTCCGCTCATGCGTCCACAGTTGTAACAAGCACCAGGACAAAGTGCCACCGTTAAGAATACACATCAACTAGGGTAACTGAATATCTGCCCTGGGCTTCCAGCTGAGAATGTAACAGATAATATATTACAATAGATAATATAACAAGAGTAAGAGAGTAAAGTCTTTTATCTGCTCTCTAGTCTGGAGATAACATTTGTTAAGAATCAGCGATATAAAAATAATAATCGATAGATTTACATCATCCTACCCATGTTGACAGTCAGGTGACCGTATGCTCTGGGCTGAGTTTCATCTGTGCTCTGTTAAAAGGCTTAACCTTTTTATTTTGAATAAACTTTTCTTGTAGCTTTGTTAGGAAAACGAAAACGCTTTCAAAGGAAGGAGGAGGAGAAAAACAATTATATTGTTCAGTACTAATTCAAGTCAATTTAATCCTAAATGAATAAATGAATAACCCTGATAACCAAACAATTGTGCAGGTCAAAAAAAACCTTCAAAAGTGTTTTTCCTTTTTTGTGTAGAATCTGTTTTTCACATTTTGTTTTTAAGAAAGTGATGAGATTTTCAAAAGTGTTTTTCCTTTTTTGTGTAGAATCTGTTTTTTCACATTTTGTTTTTAAGAAAGTGATGAGATTTTAAGAGCATTTTTCTCTGATATTAAAAGCCATCAAGCCACTTTTGTTTTGACTTTTAGTTTCAGCATTGATTCTTTATTTATGCCTGTAATTGTTGTTGATGGTGGTTTTAAGATGGGCAGCATTTGGACACCACACAGGAGAGAGAAACAAGAACCTTCTCCAGTAAGAGACTTGAATTATACTTACTGTAGATACGTATATATATGCTGTGATTTTTCACATTTATAATACCCGTATTTTTAAAATTGTACAATACTTGAAGTGTGCCACATTGGAAAGCAAAGAAAGCTAGTAGCTTGTTGCAGCAAAACCCAGATTATTGATTTAGGAACTTGTTGTGGCGCACTAGATTTCAAGTGGTGCGCGGGCAACCCCCTGGGATCCATCTTAGTCTCCCAGGCATTTTTACCAGAGCCCATCCAGCTCATCATGCTCACCACTACGTATATGGATGCACCTACCTACCAAGGTTATGGATGCAAACAAAGAAATACTCAGACAACTTCTTTTGCACCTTGCATAATTTAAGCCACATGTTGCCACGCACCTCATCAACGTATCATAACAAGGATGTGTCTGTTAATAACCCTAATTATCTGTATTTTCATGGTAAAAAGGGGTCTCGTATCTCCAGTGCTGTTCTTATATTTCACTGATCATCTTTGTTTAGGTATGAAGGGGGAAAGTCATGTCATTAATTTTTGTTTAAAAAAATGATTTTCTCAGCAGTAGCAGTTATTAAGTCGGGTATATTAGAATGAGATAATTATCCAATGTTTTACACTTTTAAGCGGGTAAACCGGAAAACTTAAGTTGCCTAGTCATGCCTAGCTAAGCTGTTTTGTTTATCAAGTAGGACCATTAATTTTTCTCTCAGACACTCAGGTGGACAGACTACCCTGGAACCATCGTATACAATCTCATACAGCAACATGGCAAGAGATAGGGGATAAGACAGACTGCATGGGGTTTCTGTATTCTGTCTAACTATGAACGTGTTTAAAAGCCTGTTTGTGTTGTGGCGTGTATCTCTGTATGAATCTTATGAGGGATTCCAACAGAGAGAAATGCAGAGTATATGCATAACACGGCACAGGCTATACCAAAAAGACTGCGGGGCCTCTGAGCATGCAGTTAGAAATATTCAGCCCCTGGCAAAGCAGAGGACACAAAATAAAAGGCTGAGGGTCTATGGAATTGTGGGAGGAAAATACATACAGTTTATATATATTCACACTAGTCCATGTCTCTGGATAGTTATATACAAAACAACAGCAACAGTAGAGGAGCCAGTAGCACAAGAAGGTGGGAGCTGCGTGCCAGATGATCAGTATGCCCCCCTTAGAGACTCCTGGTTGATCTCCTCCTGATTGGGTGAGTTGCGTGGGGAGGCCGAGGCTACCGCATGGTTGTTGCGGTTGGAGCACATATCGTACAGGTTTCCGGAGAACTGCATCTTCTTAGATTCTTGCCGTAGAGATTCCCAGACAGCTGCTGCTTCATCTGGACAGCCAGCCATTGCTACGTTAGCGCAGTCGTGAAACTCATCCCAGGATCTGCAGAGAAAAGGAGGACAGAGGTAAAATTATGACACTAAAAGCAAAAACAGACCAAAACAGATCAAACCAATTGAGTCTCATTATCATTAGAGCTACTCTATATGCTTTGTAAATTAGACCTTGAGAAGGAGCAGATAGTGTGAGCAAATGTAACACAATTTATGGAGCTATTAGCAGCTGCAATCCATTCTTGGTGAACCCGACCCTTAATGTGCTTTCTTTTTGAATGGAGGTTGTTCCAGCCATTTCTGATGCAGTCCCCTCTTTGTTAATAGGCTTTTGCAACATGTGCAGGACACTGACATTAAAACAAAATCATTAAAAAAATTATTTTCAAATACATCATTAAACATTTAGGGATTTCAAGTAGCAAGTTCACTTCACCTGTGGCTCCTTTCCCGCATGTCATTCCCTACTCTCTCTCCCTGATTTTCAACTCTATCCACTGTCCTATCATTCATTAAAGGCACAAAAATCCCTAAAATAAATCTTAAAAAAATGAAAAAAGAAATGCTGCACAATAACTGCCCAGTGATCTTGCTGCCGAACCCCAACAGTGCAGATATTTAATGCTAACAACCGTACATACACAATAACCATTTTTGCTGAATGTGGGCTTTTACATTCACCCACCCCCAAAAAAATCACTTCTTATGTTTCCTTTTTGAAGGGAACCTAATGTACTGGAAATTAGTATATTTGTTCCTAATTCTTAATGGCCTTCTAGTGACAAAATATTTTTTCATGTAATAGTTTATGCCAATCTGATGAATCAATAAAGACTTAGACACATGAAGCTCGGCATAAATTCAAAGAAGACTGTTTCATACTCATTCATACTTTCATTCATTAGTCATCATTCATTCATGTTGCTCTCTCTCTGCCTCACCCTCTCCTCTGTCTTCCTGCTCAGGGGATTTGCTGATTAGGGGTGTTTACTCTTTAAGAACTGAACCAACCACATTCTTCCACAACTTCTATCAACCAATCATCTTCTGCTTTCATATTTAAAAAATCGGTTCTTGTCTCCTTTACTGTCATTTTGGTGTTTGATTGCTGCAACCCTCTTCCCACCCCCCCCAGATACCTTCATTCCATGTGTCCAGGTCCCACCATGTCCACTCATCATCCTGCATACTTCCATCAACACCACCACCAGCGTCTACACTTGCTCATGGGGGTATCCTGCTGTCTGTCTCGTTACCTCTTCGAGTACAAGAAGTCATCACGATGGAGTCAAACTGTGAGTCACACTAAAGCTAGTGCTCATTTTCTCTTTTTCCACACTTGTAAATTAAATAATTGTTCACTCATTATTTGGCTCGTCTGGTTGAAATAAGTGTGAATGTAGATAAAGATTAAGTGACAATGTTGCTGTCATCCTCGGTGGTGATTTTGCAGTCTGTTGAGGCCCAAGGCAAGACAATTCACATCTCCAAACAGCGTTCATCCCCATTATGTTGTAAAAAATCTGACAACAACAAAAAATGGTGGAAGTTATTGATTAAAGTGTCTCTCATCCATACTAAGGGCTAGACAAGCATCATTCACTCATTTGCTATCATATGAGTCAGTACTGTAAGATTAGGGCCCCTTTAGGGAGGTTTCCTACTGTCATTGCAAATGTGGCATATTTTGAGCCACTGCTGTGGTTTTACGTGTATCAGCCCTTAGGGGCCCCCTGCTGGCCTGGGGCCCAAAGCAGTTGCCTGCCTTGCCTGTTGACAAGCAGAGCCTCTGGTCATCCTTGCACTGAGAGAATCAAAGTTAATCTATATTTGTTTGCTCCCTTGACTTCTTTTTCAGTTGCCAAGAGACCCTCTGCTGATCCTCTCTGCTCTGAGAGCAAAGGTCGCCCTGTGGATGAGACTAAAGTGTGGAAACACCTTCATTAGTTCAGGGAATAGAAACCCTGTCTTGACTTTTGAATCACTGCTGAAGTAAATCCAACGGAAGCAAAATGGACTTTTGAAATCCTTTTTTTAACACGTTTAGGAAAAAAAGTGAAACTGAAAAAGATTAAAGAAGTTTGAAAGAAAGATGAAGAGACAAAAGGAAGACATTATACTTAGAGCTTTCTTAAGCATACCGTTTAAAAAAACCTTCACGTCCATATTTTAAGTCTGTCTGATCGTTATTTGCTTCTTCATTTCATAATGAATGTTTTGGTTAAATTGTCTCAGAGGAAATACTAATGGAGTTTTAACTAGAAGAGGAGAGAGGAAACGCTGCTTAAAGAGCAGATGGCTCTATTCAAGAAATGTAAAACAAAATACTTTCACAAAAGCGCTTTCACACATAAAACATAAAATCATCTAAACTGACGACTTTGTTGTGTCTGCTGTTGGCTGACAGATTACACACCGTCAAACAGACTGATAAGAACTTCATGGATAAGAAAGCACAATAATTCTTGATGCATCTCAATAAACTACATCATTCATTTTCTATATTACTGCACCTGGCTCCTTTTCATCCTTTTAAACCTGCACACAGATAAAGCTGAACAACTTTTTATTGAGGAAGTGCTCCAAAAAATGTAACTGTAATATTTGAAAATCCTTCTTCTTTTTTTCTAGGGTTAGGGTTAGGGTTAGGGTACCCTAACCCTAACCCTTTTTTTGTAGAGATTGGACAGTGGAGCTAAGCTCAGCCACTGGCGCCCCAGAAATTCAATTTAATTTTTAGCTACTAAGTATGTGATTGATTGAATGATTCATCACTGCAGAAAATAAGGGATGATTACAAAAATGTTATTCACCCAAATGAAATAAGAGTATGGAACAGGACACTGATTTCTGCAGTCCCACATTGTGATACCCTGAAGGCTTATATCATTATTGATCTTATCAAGTGAATCTGTCATTTTAAATTATACCTTAACTCTCGCATCATAACTCCTTAGATCTATTAAAGAAGTAAAATAAATAAATAAAAATTCTCATTAAGGAGGACTTATCACTTATCTCCAATATTTGTTGTTTTGAAGACATTTGCTCCTTATCATGAGTGCAAAAATGCAAGCAAACCTAATATGTTGTGTCTCTCCTGACAGAATGAAGCATGCACCGTTCCTGTTTGCTGTCTCAGACAGATGGAACTTTTTGGATACATTTTGTTACTCTGTTGACGCATTGGGGAAGACACACTTAGGAACATGCTAACACGGCTTTAAAAAAAATAAACAGCAACTTAACGCCACTGCAGGCTTTGACAGCGTTTGGCCGTTGTCCAGGACTTAAACACTCTGTCGGCTACTGTAGGAGGACAACATCTCGGCGGCTTCTGTGGGAGGAACAGCTGCTAAGGGGGAGGGGGGCTGCGGTGTTCAAATGTGTGTGTTTGTCTGTCTCAGCAAGTAAAGAGGGTGAAAAAGTCAGAAAGAGAAAAAGGGTGGCACCATGTGCAACGCTGCACTTTTTTGGTGTGTATGGATCTGGTGTTGTGTGTTTCCTCCAGCAGTGTTTAAGTGTGTGTGTGTGTGTGTGTGTGTGTGTGTGTGTGTGTGTGTGTGTGTGTGTGTGTGTGTGTGTGTGTGTGTGTGTGTGTTTCTTTAGGTATAGATGTGTGGGTCTCTGCTCAAGTCACAGGTGGTGCAGAGACAGCAGAAACACAGTGAGGACACTGACAGACAACCAGCTGCATTCACAGAAATAAAACCTCCTGAGAGTTTGTCTGTTTTATAACATGCTGCTGCTGATATCAGAAAACATCCAAACCCCAGCTGTGTCCTTGTAGGACCATAAAGGGAAAAGAATGGTTATAACAATAATAATAATAATAATAATAATGATAATAATATAATAATAATAATAATATAATAATAATAATAATAATAATAATAATAATAATAATAATAATAATAATATAATAATAATAATAATAATAATAATAATAATAATAATAATAATAATAATAATAATAATAATAATAATAATAACAGCTTCTGTATATAATTTAGTATTTTTTTTGATCAACAGAAATGACAAATTTGGGATTTCTAGCTCTGATTTTCACTCTTTCATACTGGTGAATATCTCAGTTTAATACTTTTAACATTTTCAATACCTGTGAGTTATTTCAAAATGTATTTGTTTGGTAATTTCTAATCAGATCAAATCAATAAATATTGCGGGTCTTAGAAATGGTTTGGCATTAAGACTTACCCCGTTTTTCTACACTTTGTGATCTTCACATGACTTATGGCACATAATGAGTTGGAGAAGAGACTAAGCCTTCTGCTGGTATGTAGTCATGAAGACGCCGGGCCTAACTCACTAAGCATGGATTGTGGCAGCTAATAGCTCCAAAAGCTGGGCATCATTTGCTCATGATATCTTCTTTGTCTTAAGGTCAAATTCACAAAGCACAGCGCTGATGATACTTAAGCAAATAGACACACAAAATGTTGGTCTACTCAGTTTGTTCTTGTTTTGCATCTGAATGTTGAGGGAAGTTATCTGCACATTTACGCTGCACAGAGCTCTTCTGCTGGTGGAGCTGTTTTGTCCACATAATAAATATAAGCTGGGAGAGGAGTGGAAACTTTTTCAGGGTTTGTTTTGATGCCAGATTTGAGAATGAGATCAAATATGGGTGTCAACGTTTAAAGCAAAGCTTCCTATCTAAATGGAGCAAGCAAGGGCAACTTGAAAAAAGCAACATTTTCATTCTCATGTGAACAGCTCCAGACGTCTACATATTTTATTTTTAATTCATATAGAGTTGTTTCCTGATCATGTGATCATGACCTAAGTAGTAACTGCCCCATAGTAGGCCTGTTACTAAGTCCCAACAGATAATTGCTCTACCTGAACTGTGCATGGCTACTACACGGCAGGTGTATGCGAATTAGACGCCTTTTGCAATACTTCTCGTTTACAAGGGTCAATTATTTCCAAGATGTCTTCATAATGGCTAAATACATGCAGCACTGGCGCACATAAGACACTGTTTGCCCTGCAGCACAGTTCGGAGTGCATTTAACTCCAAGTGTG